TGAAAAAAAAAGATTTGTAATTTTTTATATAAAGAGGCAGTTTATCAAATATATAAGGATCTATATACAAGTAATTTTTTGTGATTGTTTTCTTCACTCAATTTTTTTTATAATATGTAAATTTATTTCTTGTATTATACTCATGATTATTATATTGAATGTTTGACTTATTTTTATGCATATATCAATTTTTTACTAATTTTGAAAAGATGTTCACTTGAAAAATCATAATTATTATTATAGACTTTTTTTTAGAAAGTATTTTCGAATAACTTCACGTTTATTTAAGTAGGTTCCACTCACTTCGTCCCAGCCTAATAATCCATATTATACCAGAGTAAAATAAAGTAAATTCAAAACATTGTCCAAATCAGTTTTATTTTATGTTTGGGCAAATGTATGATTTCCAAATTTTTCTCTAGCTTCTGTTGTTCATGAAAATCTGTAATTTGTTTCAGCTGACTTATATCTGTTTTAAACTGTTTTTCCATTAATCAGCTGTCGCCCCCATACGAACGACAACTCTCGAAACTCGTGCGAGCTAAGTAATAACGAGGTCTTACCTTTAAACGTGTGATTCCTAACACAGTTGCAGAAATATCCCAGCTTCAACCAGATAAATTCTTTCGAGAAAAATATCTGGTCGAGGCGGGAATAGAACCCACGGCCTTCCTTTAGTGAGTCGGGTGCACTACCACCGCGGCCAATTCCATATTTTCTATTTCTTTCTTGAGCATGTCATTATCACAATTCATATCTCCTTATTTTCATTTTTAACTTCGTAGTATTTGCTGGAAATGAATTAAATAGTTTTTTGTAGTTCTTTCAACGTTTTTATTACCATTCATTCTATTATCATTTTTGTTTGTTTCTGGTTGCTCAGAACAACTTTTACAAATTCACCTATTTCCATTTGGTTTTCGCATTTCTTTAGAAAACTGTTCAAATTCTTTTGAGTCTAATTTGCAAATTTTCAAATGGAACCATTTTTTACCATTCATTCTATTATCATTTTTGTTTGTTTCTGGTTGCTCAGAACAACTTTTACAAATTCAGCTATTTCCATTTGGTTTTCGCATTTCTTTAGAAAACTGTTCAAATTCTTTTGAGTCTAATTTG